ATATATATATATATATATATATATATATATATATATATATAAAGCATCGTTAGAAAGATGCCTTGAGTAGAAAGGGGGGATTGATCTCAAAGCTGTAAAGCCTTGAGAAGACTGTCAAAGGGACTCTTTCAAAGTATCCTCCAAATCAACACACACGTTGAGGGAAATTTAACAGAGAGAGAGAGAGAGAAGGAAAGTTGAGCTGAGCTGTGGCCTACCAAGGCGACCATTTCCCATGGTTGCGTGTTGAAAAAGTTGTGTACTTTCACTTTACTTTTTATACTTGAATATATTTTTTTTTTAACATGTCGAGGCTCTAGCGAATGCAACAAAAGGATTAAAAATCGACAAAGAAATGCAACCAAGTGAATAAAATTCAACCGCAATTCTATATATATAGTGCCATATTTTGACTTCCACTGTCCCATGTGTTCTAGAGTCAAGTCAGCCATCTTTAGCAGCTGGGGACGTTTTTCTTTCTTCGCATTAATGTTGGCCCTTCCTAATTGAAAATTAAGAAATCTAAATATTATTTAGGTTATAACCCAATCTGTAATGCATTATTGACTATGAAGGGCGATTTTTGGGTTGAGGAAATGCCCAAACATCCTCAAATCTATGAAAGACTTTGTGTATTACATAATAAATACGTGAAAATTGGGTTCATAACATTTTAGATTGAGATTGTGAATTTGTTTCAATAAATTCATGAGTTAGGTTTCAAATGTGTTGAGTAGGTTGACCTTTTCCAGTTAATTTGGCATAATAAAATCCTGAGGAAAGAATTTCAACTCAAACTATTCCAAAACTCAAATTTTCTTTTGATACTAAGGATATTTTCTTAAATGAGAAATGACGAAAAAAATTTAAAAATATAATAATTTTAAAAATCCAAATTAAACAAAAAAAATTTATTCTTAATATATTCTATCTATTTCTTGAAATGTGTACCATGATCTTTGAGTTTTATATAGTTTAAAACAAAAATTTTGATTTTAGTGTATTTAATATGAAGATTTAATTTTTCTATAAATTGATATTCCATAGTTTTATAATGTCAAACAGTGTCAAAATTATGAAAAATAATTTATTGAAATATAAAAGGTAAGAATTTTAGATGTTCAAAAAAGAAAAAAGAAAATAATTTTGAGATATTCAAAGGTAAAAAAAATTAAACAAAAGGAATATTACATTACTCGTACACGTTATCATTATTTTTGTCTTTCCATTTTCAAATTTGGATGATTATAACAAAGGGTTAATTTAAAATTAGAAAAAGCGTAAATATGAATTAGGGCTAAATTTGGGACTTATGTCTATTATCTATTTATCTGTGGACAAGTGTGAATAACATGTGATTGTACAAAAAATTTGACAATTTGGAAATGTAAAAGGCATAAGCGACAGGCAAGAAGGTCAGTTTCGTGACGCAATTGACATGATAGTGGGCTTTCCTCGTTCCCTGCTTCCGATACTAAACTTGTACTACTTTCTTTATTTATTATAATTAGGACCCAATTTTGATCATTGGTCAATTATATCATTTAATTAATATAATTAACGAAATCTATCTATCTACCCTTAAAGCTTGTAAGCCCGTCTATTATTGCTACCCTCTTACTATTTTATTTAATTAATGGGGTGTGTGGTAAATTCAAACGGTCGGCTAGAGTTTCCTCTTCAACATCATGGTAATTTTTCTCCTTGTTTGGCCAATAATTTGGTCACCTAACCTAACAGAATGCCCCTTAAATTCTACATTGTTGTGGTATATTTGACCATGTCTATCTTTCTGGACCACTTTTTTTTACCTATGTTACTTCCCTTTTAAGATCAGAAACTAGGTAATTTCATTTCTAAGATTAGGGCATGTGCCTAATTAACACCATCTCTCTCCATCTTGGTAATAGATCTTATGAATTTGGGAGGTCAGAGCATATACCAAATCAACTAGTATAACCTTTCTTTGAGAAAAGAGACAGACACAGAAGGAAAAATTCAACTGTATCTCATTCTCCTATTAATTATAGACAGTTTTCTCCGTAATTATCCTATTAATTATAACTTGTTTCTTGGGTGTGGTGGGGTTGACATCTGACGGTGCTGAAGGTGGGGGAATCAAAAGAAGGCCGATGGAATCAAATTCTCTTTTTTACTATAAAAAAAATATTTTCCAGCTAAGAGAGGGAGTATAAATATATATTTACCAACCAATAAGTCGCATTAATTGATATTCTATCTATCTATCTATTTTTATTATTTATAATATATATTTATATATGTAATTTATAGTTTATTTATAATATATATTAAAGTATGAATGTTGTAGATAGTCTAATTGCAGTGAACCCTTTTTTATTCATTTTTTCAATTCTAATGGTGTTAAGTAATTTATAAATTAATGGTACAAAATTTTAATTATATATAATTTAAACATTAACAATCTTTTATATATAATTATATTTTATTTTTAAACAATTAGCTTTACACTTAAAAATATTTTTATTTTATATAATTATTGTTTAAATATATAAAAATTAAAAATAAGTATATATATTCATGTGCAAGGCACGTAAATATAAATAGTAGATGTATTCAATAGTTTGTATATGCAAGAAATATGGTCTTTTTTTTAAAGAAAATACATAAGTTATTAATATGAATATTTTGTAATGCATGTAAAAATTATTATGATGATTATTAATTAATTAATTATAGTCTTCAGTATGGAGAGAATATGGCCTTCAGCCTTATGGAGGTGAAGAAAACTCGGCTTTATATTATACATGCCTGAAGCCGGAAATTAATAACTAGTAATTAAGCTTGCCCATTGAAAGATAGAAATCACACATTGTATCAACAAATATAGGAATTCTAAAGATAAACAAAATGAGAATAGGAATTAAAAAGAAATAAAATTAAGCTCAAGCTAATTAGGAAGCGCGCAGCTCTAATTTTACTCCAACACTCAACAGCAATTGGTCTCTTCCCATCGAAACTTGTTCTGAAACCATGACGTTTATATCTTGCATAATGGAGTAAGGCAATTGCCGAGAAAGCCACGCACGTATAGCTGGGGAACCGTTCAACCCCGTCTTATTTGAACTGATCTTACTAATTACACCTTTTCGGGGTCCACTAATTCCATGATCATCAATCATCATCATTAAATCGGATAGCAGCCTTTGATCATGTGTCATAGCTAGGTAAGAGCGGAGCTAGAGAGAAGAGAAGAGAGAGAGTCAAATGCAGATGGCTGATTAATGTAGCAAATGATAATTATATTATATATATAAATTTAGATTATCATAGATTCTGGAGGTAGCAGGACAATAAGAAAAATCCTGGTCTCCTGTTCTGGCACTTTCAATTTCTGCAATATTTTATACCTAAAGTTGAATCTTTTTTTTTTTTTTGTTTTTTTCTCATTCCCCTTTTTGAATCCAGGGGGAGACGGTTCCATGTCTGTCTTCCTCTAGCCATTATAGTCTCCCTCTCTTTTTTTTTTTTTTTCCTTTTTGTGCGTGTGTGTGTATATATAACAATATTACCACACTTTCATTGTTGTCAAGTGAAAGGAAACTAGAGCGCAGCTAACTTTCAACTCTCTCAACTTAAGCAAACAAACTCGCGCACAAAAAAACATGGGGAGAGCTCCTTGCTGTGATAAAGCTAACGTGAAGAAAGGCCCATGGTCGCCGGAGGAAGATGCCAAGCTTAAGGCTTATATAGAGGCAAACGGCACTGGTGGCAACTGGATTGCCTTGCCTCAGAAGATAGGTTAGCAACCTAGCGAGCTACAGATGAATTTAACTTTCCCACTTCTTAGATATCACCATATTCAATTTTCTTTTGGTTAAGCTAGATTAGTCTAACTTTGCCTCTTGAACAATACTGTTTGCAGGGCTTAAGAGATGTGGCAAGAGCTGTCGTCTTAGATGGTTGAATTATCTCCGACCCAACATTAAGCATGGAGGGTTCTCAGAAGAAGAGGATAATATAATCTGCAGCCTTTTTATAAGCATTGGAAGCAGGTAAGTCATATTCTTGTGGAGTATATATATTTAGGATCTTTTATTCTTAATTAAGCTCTAGTAATTATCAATAATAGACAGAATTCAAACTCTTACTTATATGTTTCTTTTGAATGCACAGATGGTCTATAATTGCAGCACAACTGCCTGGGAGAACTGACAATGATATTAAGAACTATTGGAACACAAGGCTTAAAAAGAAGCTCCTGGGCAAACAGCGAAAAGAGCAACAAGCTCGGAGAGCTGCTAGCTGCCTCACCCTTAAGCAAGAGATGAAGAGGGAGAATGAGAATTATATGATTCCTGGAATGGTGAGCCAAGCTCCATACTGGCCACAGTTACCAGCAGTCATGCCTCTAACAAGCACAAACCAAGATCCTCAGCTCAAGGACAAAGAATCCATCAGGAATTTGCTTGTCAAACTAGGAGGAAGGTTCTCCGATGATTATCCACAATCAAGCACCTCCACCAATCCCATGAATCTTCGATACCCTCTGGATGTTTCCTTTGCTCAAGATCAGCTATATGAGAACTCCATGAACATGATTTCATCTCCATCTTCAATTAGTCCCATAAACAGTACTTGTACTTCTGAAGTGATCAACATTACCCACTTTAATGTCAACGAGGCTGCTGCTGGTCCTAACAATATGTTTCAAGGGCTTGACGGTTTCCCAGCTGAGCTAAGTGAGCTGATCTACAGCTTGGAGGGTTTCTATGGAACCGATAACATGGTCGATGGAAGCAGTACTGGGACTAGTTCCGTAGAAAGTAGCAGCTGGGGAGATATAAATTCACTAGGCTATCCCCAAATTGTCTCTGGATTTGAAGCTTGCCAACAAAGCATGCCTCAAGTTTCTACCTTCGATGAGTCAAGCTACTTCGGGCCACAATAACAGCGCTGTACATGGGTGGTGTAAATTTGTACCAATTAGGGAATTAATTTGGGTGTCAGAGAATTTCAGAAAATCTCCTAATGAATTCATGCAGAGATTGTTTTGTTTTGTAATTCGACTTTTACAATTGCCATTTCCGGTTTTTTCTTTCCTTCTCAAAAGTTTATTAATCAAGCCACTTTGATTCATCTATGTAAGCAGCGTTTCTCTTCTGAATTCTCTGTAGCTTTTAACTTCTAGACTTGATTGCTTTTTTTAATGATGCTGTATGTGCAATCCTAAATCCTTGAAGTTCTTAAAATGACAGTAATCAGATACAGTTGAGTCCAAAACTGCTTTGCACTTTGGGAGCAGTCATATTTGGAACTTCGATATGCTTCTATTAAATTACTCCTCTCCTGGATCAGCACTGTCTGAGAAGGAAACTTTATGGTATATTTCTTAATTACAATGCGAAAAAGTACATCTCTTTTTCCCTAGTAACACATGGGATTGAATTGCATCTGCCATAAAGCCCCTCCTAGGCGTCCATGAAAAAGGCAGTAATAAAGTTGTAAAGTTGCTTTGACGTTTTGGCCACAACTTCCTAGGCTCTAGCAAACTTGGTATCTGGCTGTGGCTGCATTCTTTTATTGTTATCTGCAATTAAAACATTGAGAGCTTTGAATTGAACGCACATGCTATCAGTTTATGTCATGTAGTTCCTTCCAACTAGAAATAAGGCGAACTTGATCAAGTTATCCAGTACTTTCTATACTATTTATCTGTGCCTGGTGGGTCGATCAAGTATCTGCTGGATAATAACATAATATCTGTTGTCTATCTCAATATAAACTGCCTTTACTCTTGGATTATTCCATTGTTTTTCTAAGACTTTGTTTTATGAGATTTACACTTGTTTCCTTTGATTGATTTAAAGAGATTTATAGCCTTGTGGATGGTTGCCTCAAGAGCCATAAATTAGGCATGGGAAGAGTCTTTTTCACCCGATAGCTTCAAGATTTACGACTACGAATTATATTTATATATATTGTTTTCATTTTTAAGGCAATCCCATGAGTTCCTCCACTCCTTGATTTATGGCATGAATTTAATAAAGAAAGAATTAAAATGGAAAAACAATCATGCACATTATTCTAAACAAAAACGATACTCACAGGGTTCAGCTAATGCTCTCCTCACTGATGTATCTAAAACGATTATTTATTTCCAAAACAGTTTGCCCCACTAAGTTAAAGCAGTATCAACATTTGAAACATGTCTCTGTTCGCATTCTCTAGGCAGATTATGTGCGTAGCATAGAGAGATGCCGCCCACGATGTTCATGGAGGACTTTTATTAAATATATCTCCAGCTTTCCCCTCCTTCCCCCCCCTGAATATAGTAACTATTTTTCATGTTGCATCACTTGATTTCTGTTTTTTGACCTTAGTGAAAAATAGCAATTGGTTGCATTACTTCCTTTTGTGTTGGGACCAAAATCTAAAGCTGAATCTTTTTCGTACAATAATCAATGTTTTATTTTACTAATATAATGTACATATATATATAGGTCGCATACTCTATTGAGCTAAAGCATGCATACACACTTTCTTTCAATAGTTTTTAATGGCCATCCATCATTATTCATTCACCAAGAGAAAGAGACAGAGGAAAAGAAAGGGAAAACTACAATGGGATTTTCGGATTTTTTTTTTTTGTGTTAAAACGAGCTTACTGTTGGCATGAAATGATTTGCCCAATAATGGAAGAGAAAGTTTGAGGCCAAGGCAACATCATAATATCAAAGGCAGAAAACAAAAAAGGCAACTAATAATAGTTTAATTTGATGATGCATGTAGTAAATTAAGCAAGTTAATTGTGATGGTTAGCTAGCAGATTTTCATTTTTAAACATGGGAGAATCTAGGAGGAGAGAGGATTAATGGTGGGGAAAAAGAAACAAAAATGGAAACCACATATATGTATGCTCTTAAAGTCAAAAGGAGATAAAGAGAGTAGCACTAGGGCTAAACAAAATTGACCTGGACGTTCTTTGTTGTCTTGGCAGTATTCAAGGTATAGGTATTTGCTAAGTCAATCATGCATCACTTTCAAATTAAATGGTTTAGCCATAAAAAGAAGGATATGGGAAAAAAAAGGAGAAAAAATTCTCATAATCATACCAATAATCTTTTCATAGGTTATTCCCATAATTAACTTATTTATTCTGGTTCGCAATATCTTTGTTGAATGCTTGACACAGGCCGATACTTATAACCTTCATGCGTTTTTCTATGTTTCTTTTTCTGGTTGGTGTTTACTCATTCAACAGAAACTCCACCTAGTTTTTGACAACTCGTGATTTAGGTTTCATCAGCATTGATCCCATAAAGTCAGTGTGGCATCTAAACCATGATGTAATGAAAATTTCGCTCTGACTGCAAATTAACGTGCTTTTCATCAAATATGAAATTTTGAGAATAACTTGCCTCATCATCTCCTTCATTTGATATTTGATACAAAATTTGTCTTCCCTTAATAAAAGGTGTCTAATTATAATCTTTTTAAAAAATATAAATATTGATTTCATTACTTAATTTTTAATTACAAAATATCATGTAGAGAGATAACATAATCCTTTCTCTTTATATATATTTACGGATAAAAATTTAATAATAATTTATAACGATTTTGTTTAAATCAAATTAACCAATATATCCATTTTACATTACTTCCCACAATAATCAAGAAAAACCTCAAAAAACACAATTCAGAATCATCCGGTCAAATTTTCAATATCTCTAGAAGTTGATCATGAAATACCCAACAAAACCAAGAGCACCCTTAACCCAGTATCTCCATTTCCACAAAAAACCAGGCATTTATTTGAATTTTTCATTGTTCACAAACTAAAATAATGCAAACATCAATCAAATCTTTATCAAGACTATATGCTTACTTTGAGGTCAAACCGTACCGACTCAATCGATTGATAATTGATTTTACACGTAGCGGTTGCAAATTGGATGAAATTGTTTAGTTTAACTCTATCTTGACTTTCCAGCTTGATTTGTTGGTAGGCCATGATATAATAACGTTTCTGTTTTAAATTAAAAATGGTTGACAAATTTAATAAGAAACTGTTGGTTAATTTTGTCCACATATGTAGAAATCTTGAGGTCTATTTGCGAAGGCCGACTCTCAAATCAGTCATTCAGCGCAAAACCATTGGAAGCTTTATTGTTTTTTAAGTTAAAATGTCGCTTGCTTGCTATATACGTCAACACGTTTCCATCAAAACCTTATTTTCCTATCAAAGCATTGATATTTGTACATGTTTAATTATAATTAAGACAGTTTACCGACAAATGATGAGATTTATAAAACGAAAAAGAATTATATACATTATTCCTACATAAATATATATAATCAGTTGAATTTAATCTCTGCCAAAGTTACTAGTTCTAACCCACCAAGTACAATTAAAAAAAAAAAAGAGGATGATCAGGCCCTTTGATTCCATTACAACTTAATTAATCAAAAGGATTAGTATTTTAATTCTACATATGACAAATGAATTTTGAAAATTAATAAGTAAACTTGTTACACGTTAACTTTTCAATTATCTCATTGATTTGATTATATATATATGATAAAATATAAATTTTTTTATGTGTTCATTGCATTCAACGTGTATTAAATGGTTCACATTTACTTTTTTGAAAAAGTTAGCTAGCTATATATGGGTAAATTTAAAAAAAAAAATGCTAAAACCACCAATATGTAAATGCTCCAAAAATTTACAACAACAGCCAGAGAACAAATTCTATGAAAGTATGTAGCAATATAAAACAAGAGAGAAATAGATTATATATGGTAATCCATGAATGCATATTAAATGTATTGTAGTATATCTTTAGCTCTTAGTCACGTATTGAAATGGACAGCCAGAATTCTAATCCCCATTATTTCCCAACTTCGGTTTTTAGTATAATCATGGTTACTTGTAGGCATCATGAATTGAATATATATTTTATAAACCAAGGAAATATACATGGAATAACTCCCAAACCAGAGAAAGAAAGTAAGAAATTTCTAGGAGGCTCCATTAATCGTTAGGCCCTTTTGACTGAGGTGAACTTAATTATTTCTAATTCAAAAAGTTTGTGTTATAAAATGATAGTGTTTATATTATATGTAAGCAATGACATCAAATGAATGAGAACTTATACATGGACTGCATACAAGGCACTAGCCGTCTCAGAACATATTGTCAAATGGTTTCAAATTTAATCTATTTCAACTGTCAAGTGTCAAACATTCACTAACCTTCAACAATCAGGGCCACCAAGTTTTTGCTAGACAATCAAACTTTTTCAAACTTTTTTTTTATATAATTAATTGTTCTTAATACAAAATGAGTAAGTTTTTGTCTGTTTTCCCTAGTTATCTCTTTAACCTAACATGAAATTACAGAAATATATATAAAAATCTGTCTCTGATTCCCCTGGAGGCATGGCAGAGGATCATACAAGGGTTAGTGTGAGCTAATGTAAGTAAGATTTCAGTCTTTGATAAGTAGTCGAACGAGTGCAAGTTGGGAGAATACAGGGGACTATATTTATAACTTTTTGAAAATCAACAATAGGAAAATCTGAGGGTTTGATCAGAGGCCAAGCCCCCCCATCTTGATCTTGTAGTCACATCAAAATGCTTTTCCACATGAATCACAATTTAATCTTGAAAAAGAACTTTTAGAAAATCTAGAGTCACTAATGTCCATATCAATCTAGTGGGGAGCAGCTAAATTTTGATATTAAAAATGTTCATCAATGCTAGTAATAACCCTAATCATATATATCTTAGCAATCGGTTGTCATACATTTTCCCCTTGTTTAGTTCTCAAATCTTGTTTAACCTTCACAAATTCCTCTGTGATGAGAATACATAGGCTGCAGGCTGGTGTATGGAGAAAGTGGGCAAGTGCCAAAGCCTACGAGTCACAAAATAATTTTGGTAAAGTGAGAGGAATAATCTTTTAGAAGAAGAAGCAAAACAGAAACAATCTCCCAGGATACAACCAAAGTTTCCAAAATTTTAAGTAAAATGTTGAAGGGCACATTAATTCTGCCAATCCCATGACCATAATATATAATATATCTTTTTCTATCATAATCAAACTCTTAATGAAACCTTGATTGAAGGCTCAAAGGT